AGCTTCCTTCAAGCTTCTGACGGGATATCTGTCCCTAGGTAGGCAGTAAGCGAAGATTTCGGCGAGAATCTCTGCAGAATGGCGGACATCAAGGCGTGATGAGCGTCAAGATAGGCTTTCGCTCTTTCACACTCGGACGAGAGGGCCCTGAGGCGTTCCTGTAGCCTGGATATTTCGGTTTCCAGGTTGGATAGCTTCCGTTGTGGCGCAGCGAGGAAAGTATTCATTTCCGTAAGCTCTGTCGCAGAAGGAATGTAATTAGCGTGTAGAAGTGAGTAATAGGGAGACCGTAAAATGTCCCAATCGGTATAAGAGTCTGAGATTTGTCCTGCCATCGTCCTCGCAGTGGATGTAAGGGTACAAAGGGCGCCATACCGGACCCACACCGTGACTTATTTTCCCAAGTTTTAAAACCCTATCATCATCCACGTTTTGTTCCCGTCTGCGAAAGTCTCAGCTTGTAACGAGTGATGACCTTCTAAGATCGTGAGAATATCAATCGCTGATCGACACAACTTATGCTTGAAAGGCCAGACAAAAATGGGAGCAGAAACACAGGCAGCGTTAGAGTATATATCATGAGATGGAGAAGAGAGTTTCTAATAGTGATAACAGCGTAAATAGATACGTGGAGGAGAGATCTATATATGAGAGATGTATGTACTAACATAAAAAGCAAATGTAATAAGTGTAAGTGTCGAAGATGAACAAATATGAGCAGAGTGTTGGGGGTAGGGGACGGGGTGGGGGATAAGCCATTGTAAGTGAATGCGACGAACCAAAAAAAGCCAAAAATGAACAAAAAATGGACAATAAGCAAAAAGAAAACCGGTAAAGTAAACAAAAAATTCTATAGAGTGAGACGTACACTAATAACGTGCGATAGGGTAATTATATACCAGCCAGTAAGAGTAAGCGTCAGAGTAAGATTCGAACACATCCAGGCATTTGAAATACAAGAATGAAAGGGATTGGATCAATTAACACACACGTACATTCAACTTGCTTGCATGACGACGCTAGGAGGGAGGTTGGAACTGTGGTTGGGCTGCACTATACGGGGAGGAGAGGGACGGAGAGGAGGTGAAGTGGAAAAAGAAGGTTCTACTGCGGCGGTGGGAGTGGAAGAGGCGGTGGATGCCGACGTGGATGTGGATGGAAAACGGGAAGGTAATGTTGGTGTATCGGCATCGACAGATTTAACGTCAACCAGGGCTCGGATGCTTAGACTCGCCGCGGACGTAGCGGGTGGATTCACTTTTACTTGCACTGCACTGCCTCCACCACCTTCACCTCCGCCTCCACTGCTACCATCGTCATCCACTTGCATCCCATCACCCTTATCATCTGATTCCCGTCCACGCTCAATCTTGGGCGACATCTTCGCAGCACCACCATCTCCAGCAGCAGCAGCAGCATCTATCCCATCCATCTCCATCTCCACATCATCCACAGCCAGCCCGCGCGCGATTCCAATCCGAGGTCTCGCAGAGCACGTATCCACACCGTCCAAAGCAAGCTTGATCCCCGGGATCTTCCTCTCTCCCGAATCACCCATACCCCCTGCCTCCGCCCCTTGTCCCATCCTCATCCCCACTCCCATTCCCATCCCCGACTCTTCCTCCTTCTTCAACATCTCCGGTGGCAATCTCAACGGAGCAAGCGTAATAGGGGGCGACCCAGCTCTAGATGTAGGTCCAGAACCTCCTCTACTACTTCTCCCACTCATACCAGGACCACTCGTTCCTAGTCCCCCACCGAACCCGAATCCACCGATACCGATCCCGGCACTGGAACCAGAGGCACCGGAAGGACTTCCGGGCCTTAACAAGGGCGAATGAAGAGGAGATGTATGCGCCGAGCGGGCACCGAGTGTAGCCGATGAAGATTGAGAATAGCCGTTGCTGCTCCCTCCTCCGCCATTTACATGCGAATAATGTTGAGGTCGAAGGGACAGCTTATTCAAAAGCGAAGCGGAAGGAGGTGGAGTGGGGATTGCAGTCGAGGACGACGAAGAAGAAGGATGATGGTGGGGATGTATCGGCGTCATCCCAAAAGCCATTCTCACCGAATGCGCGAGGTGACTGTGATGGTGCGCATTGTGTCTGTCAGAAAGATGAATTAGTTTCCGAAAATACCCTAAACCCAAACGACCAAAAAAAAAGAAAGAAAGAACCGAAGGAAACACAAAACAACGAAACCTCTACTCACCCAGGTGCATGTCCATGCCCATTGAGCGTCGGCGAAGGAGCTCTAGAACTATCTCTACTCCTTATCCTCCCCTCTTCCCTCTCCCTCTCTCGTTCACGATCACCAAGTAACAAAACCCCATGATGCGAATGATACTCCCCTAAAATATCCCTATACGGATGATGTCCATGATTGTTTATGTTACCATGACTTCCCGCACCCCCAGCCAAGGAAGTCAGTTCACCCAAACTCCTATTCCTCGGCCCGACACCTGCGCCGACCCCGACCACGCGCTCGCGGTGAGAAGGAGGCGAAGGAGGGGAGCCGGATGGTGATGACGTCAGTAGTAGGGCTGCTTCGGAACCTGACCCGGGCGAAGCAGTGGGCGGAAGTAGGATGGGGCTGGGAGCTCGAGAGGGATTGGCGGAGTGGAGATTCAACCCTCGTAAAGGACCAAGGAAGGGAGAACCACTCGGTGTATAAGCGGGTAGGCTTCCAGAGGAAGACTTTTGTGGTCCGGCCTGACCTGGAGGACCCTGAGCGTGCGAGTTCGAATTGGCGGCGGCAGCGTACGGGGTACTACCGAAGTCTTGTTCAGTAGGTGTAACAGACGAAGCGGTCTTGGAACGGTACGAAGATTCAGGTGGACCCATTCTATCGTCCCGACGACCGCCTTTCCTCCGCTTCATATGCACAGCATCCCCGCCATCTTCCGAATCGGAAGACAGCTGAGATTCACGATGCGCATAAGCATTCGGACGGTGCAACTGCGACGGATGCGAAGCGACGCCCAGACCAGCTGGGATCGAGCCGGTGGGCTTGAGAGACGAGGAGGGAGACGTCTCGTGGCTAAGGCTATGACCTGCATCCGGTGTCGCATACCACGCTGGTCCAGAAAGTCGTCTCTTGGTTTTGATTTCCCTCTCCAGTTCCCTTTCGGCTTCTCGATGACGTGCCTCTCCGTTCGAAATGGAATCCTGGTGGTCTCCCATGCCGACCGGATCGTCCGGTAAATCCTCGGGGGAGGGGTCGCCTCGCTCATTGCTGAGGCCAAAATAACCTCTCTCCCGAATTCTCTCCCAGGGCGTACCAACCGGACTGGTGGTAGCGCTCTTGCTCAACCGAAAACCCGACGGGCTAGGATATGGGTAAGGGGAAGTGGAAGTAGACGAAGAAGCTGTAAAAGGATGCGAGGAAGACGATGAATAGGAGGATAATGAGCTGTAGGAGGATGAATGGGACGGAGGTTGGGAAAGAGGGTTGGAGAATACGGAATGGGGATGGGAGTCGGAATGATAAGAAGAATGGGCGGAGTAGGAATCGAGGTAGGGATGATTGTGATGGGCGTGGTGTTGGTCTCTAGGTCGGGTGTGATGGGACCCGCCACCGTAATGACCAGGACCGCCGCCGTGATAATGATGATAACTGTCATATCGTTCCCGGTCCCATTCCCGTTCCTGATACTGCTGTCTTGTTTGAAATTCGGCTCGACGCAACATTTCAGCATGTTTAGCTTCGTATTCCGCTCTGCGGAGAGCTTCTTCTCTTTCGAGAACGTAAAGTTCATCCATGGCGACGGACGAAAGGGTAGTGAAAGGAGACGGGGGCTGCGAGGATAAGGGGGAGTTTGCCGGGACCGTGCTGGAGACTTGACTTCGCCTCGTGTGGGGTAAATCATAGGAACTTACTGACGTCGGGCGGGCGTACGAGGTCATTTCACCCTAAAATAGAGTGGCGATAAATGGATTAGAAATTGTCTAAGAGAGCAGAACGCACTTCGTCATCACTGTTTGCTCTGCTCCTGGCCTTTTTCTTCACTCTACCTGCGGCGACAATTTGTCGTACATCGCCAGAAGAAATTTGATCATAATGATCAGATTGAGCGACTTTACTGGTTGGAGCGGTAGCAGCAGCAGCAGCAACCTTTGCAGCTTTAGTTTTGGCTGCCTTGCTTCCGCCGGTTGCATGGTCGTTATTGTGAATTCTTGAATGTCTCGTTAGTTCATCTGAGCGGGAAAACTTTTTCTCGCAGGCAGGAAAGCTGCAAACAAAAGGTCTCTCCCCGGTGTGGGTTCGAATATGACGGGTCTAGAATTCGAAAATGATGTAAATAAAAAAAGAAAGTGAAAGCCAGCAGACGTACCTGATGTTCAAGTCTAGAAAAGGCGCGGCCGCATTGAGGATAGGGACACTTGTAAGGTCTTGGAATAGCAGCCTTGTCAGCGGCGGGTGCAATGCTGGACATCGTCTGGCACGATGGAGGTAGCCAAAAGGGTATGGGGGCGGGGAGGGGGTTGGCCCAGAAGATGAAAGTCAGAAGGAAGAAAGCAAGACCGCGAATTTGGAAGTGATCGCCGAAGAAGGGCAATGAATTGAAGCGGAAAAATCATGGACATTCCATTTTTAGTAATTTGCACGTGTAAAAGGGTTCATGTCGCTCCCCAGCCCGGAATATCATTCCTTCCATTCAACCCTTTCAATCTACAGCTATTAACAAATATTTAATCCAGCTCAGAGCCAGCCAGCTTTTCCCAAAAAAACAAACCAGATATATGACCATATCACCAGGAACGGAACATCTGTATACCCCACAGTCACCCCGCAACCGAGCCTGATTAGCATGTAATTTATTTCGTTACTTTTCGGTCCGACTTGATAACGATGCATTCCGTCCGAGTTTCCCCGCATTCCCTTCAGAGGGACGACTTGAGTCCACCAAATAGTCGAAACAGTTTCGACGGAGCGAGGATATTCGTCCAGAGATCAGTAGTGTTGAGGATTATAATCTGTAAGTATCCAAGGATTTGCATGGGCATGTAGCGTAGGGGTTATCGCGTTCGCTTTGCATATAAATAAGAATCTTTGTATGTGCATGCGAAAGGTCTCCGGTTCAAATCCGGACTTGTCCATTTTGTATTTTTTTACATGTTACGCATTTCATGAACTGCCATTACAGTATCCAGCTCGCTTTTGCGGTTACCAGAAGAATCACCGGATAAAAACACCCATTCTTTGTTAAACCTAAAAGACCTTCTGCGGAGCCGGCAGGAGTACTGGACTAAGTCATCACTAAGAATGTTTGGATGCCAGGCGTAGCATGGTACGGTGAATCTGAAAAAAATCAAATAGCCTGAGCGAGCAGCATGTCGAGACTCGAGACGGTGTGACATCGTAGACGTCGAGATGTCAGCCCTTTCGACTTCACACTGTCTTGACATCTCGATGCATGCAATATCACACCGTCTCGGAATTTTGATGTCCTCGATGTCCTGAGGTACCGATGTCTCGACATTGACCTCCCTTATACTGAGGCTATAAATGATTGGAAACAGTCTCAATTTTGTTCTTTTGTAAAAGTTTCATTAAGAATATTCTTCACATTTGCAGTAGCTTATGTTTTAAATTATCTCATGCTTATTCCAAGGCAATACTCTGTAGAGCATGTTGGAATTACACACACAAAAATTACAGGAAGGAACCAACGATATATAGTTAGACATCATGTTCAGTCGCATCCCTTTCACGTCAATAGCATTGCCATTTTTCCAGTATCATTTTCAAGTTCCCGGAGTGTCACATCTATTCTCTCACTACCATAATGCTGAAATCATACTGAATTTTTGCAAGGGGTTGACCTGGCAATCTTTGTCTCGGCCTCCGCATTACCCTAGCATTCTCCCAGTGCCGCGCAGGTAATTTTGAGATCCCCACAGGGTATATAGATTGTATCTAAACTGTAATGTTCTCATTCTATCACTTAGGAAGAACACCCTTGTCCACAGAAAGAACATAGAACGAATTTTTTCGGCTCAAAATCTGATCTTGCAAATACTTAGGGTGACCAAAACCTGCCATTTTAGGGAATACTTAGCCCCAATGCCCCAACTCGAAGATTCCATCATTACTTGCTGTACTTATCACGAGTAAATAGATGTGTCAAAGGCATCGCCGATTGACATCCGAGTCACAGTTAATCTGTTCTTTATTATGGTAATAAAGCCCTGAGTAGTATTCCCAAACTGTTCGATTTCTTGTTCTTCACTATTTCCCGTCCAAGGCCGTTCAAGGAGCAAGCACCCTGTTCTCCAATCCAGCGGAATTGCATTGAAATTTCAAAAAATCAATTGAGATGAGATGTGGCGTCTCATTCCAATATGTTCGTTCATTTTCTTCTGTGCGACTTCTGTGCACTCCTTCGACTTCCAAACCGGGGTACCCACGCAGTGTGACGATCTAACTGTGAATTGGTCTGGTGAGCACCTTATCTAAATAGACTTGCTTCGAGTTTTTGACATCATATTCAGGAGGAGCACCGCCCTTCACTCTAACTGCTGTTGTCGTTCGTAATTTAGTAAATTTGCTAGTGAAAAGTATAAAGGTTTCTGACATGCTGAAAATAGCCCGGTAATGACAACCTCAATTTTAATATACCTTCGGACGTTTTCGAAAATAACAATGGAGTGTTCAAGACGCAACTTCGAGTTTCCAGTGGCACCCAGATCCTTCTCGCCATGTCGGATTCCACTGGGCCATTGAGTGGAGGAACTTCTGAGTTGTTGGTGGTGGGAGACACGTTGACTGAGGCAAGTTGCAACACTACTTTGCTTGGTGAGCAGTCGTTAAATACGCAGTGGTACACGCTAATTTATTTTATTTTTCCCTTCCCAGCTAATGACTTCTTTTTCAGCACTAATGACTCACCATCTGAATGTGAGTCTTATCGATTTACGCAGTTCAGCGGGGCAGTCCTTCCAGTCACAATTTTTGTATGCATCCCAAGTTCCAACTAAATCTCTCTTGGATTCTTCTAAACTGGTATCTGTAGTTCTACGTTCCAGGAGGGCATGAATCGTTCATAATCACCCCACCACCTTCTAAATCGTTTACCTGGAACACTAACCTGACTGCAGAAACGCCTTTCGTAACTACCATGATAGATTCTGATAACCGAAGAGGGGGTACAGACATCATTAAAACGGTCTCGCCGTCCAATAATCAATCATGCATTGATCCTCATGCAACCAGCTCGCTAACACCAACGTCAACGCCGCCACCCCCATCAAGACATTCGTCCTTATCTACAGGCACTATCGTTGGTATTGGAGTAGGCGCAGTTCTCGTTGTCTTCCTGATGCTTCTTGCATTCTGGTTGATCAAATGCAGGAAGCTTAGAAAGCAAAGGAATGGGAATATTGAATGTGTTGGGGCCGGGGTATCTATTCAGGGGCCAACTGCGAGCGATCCATCGGATCCGCCTGCAGCTTCTCGGCCGGCAATGTCTCAACAGTATCTTCCAAACCCATATCCTGTTACATTGATAAACCAGGACCAGCAACATCTGAGTTCAAAGAGTGTAGCATCGGGGAGATACATTATTCATAGGAATATTGAGGATGAGACGGAGGAGCTGCCACCTCAGTATTTTGACGGGAGGGGGCTAATTGAAGGGTCTTCATTGCAAGATACAGTAATGAGTAGAGGTTACTCCTGATAGATTGAGGAGCACAAGAAAGGATCAAGGAGAGGAGTTATGACCAAAGGTAGATTTAGTTATACTTCTATTGCGCTATTTATTTATTTCACCCAAATTGCACCGTGTTCATTTACATGGTCTTGCATTACACCCTTTTGTTCAGATATGTACATAAACAACCCGGCGGGAGACTATCACCCTGCTAATTCAAAGACTATTTACAGTATTCCTCAATGTCAATGAATCTCAGAATCTGCTTCCAATGTCACCGCCACACAGCTGCCAAGATATAGTTCACTTGTATGGGTGTTTGTGAGGCTGTTGTGAGGTTGCTCATTCATATTAGTAAGTAATTGCTGTTTTTATGCCTTTTCAGCTCAATGTCATTGAAATATGAACAGCTGCAGGAATCTCACTGTTCTACTGCATCAGGGGCTGGAAGAATATGTATTCCAAGTCTGGAATATTATTGCTCACAGTACACTGTTTTTACTCTCTGTTTCTGCCCCACCACAATACCTTGCCAAAATATTGAACATCACTCATCAAGAGTTCTCATCTAGCAAACTCATACTCCTCCTGGGATTGTCATCGAAGGAATTGAAGCATTTGGTAAATATCACAGAGCGGAGATCCACTGGTGGAAGGGCTTAAATATCACCATAGCAGAAAATAGGAAAGGGAGATATGTATTCTACGAAGTACCTGTGGCATTATGCATAGAGGGAGCATTATCAGTAGAATGTCAAATCACTTTTTCCGGACATTTCCACCTTTTGCCGATCTGTTTTTTTTTTTTTTTTTGATCTTATCTGTGCGAGCTTTTCACGGACTTTGGCTAAAAATTTCAGCCTTTTTTTCAGGTTAGATTTTTATGAGAGTTATTAGGAGCTTTTTGGCCATAAACTTCTAAGTTATAGGAATATAGTTCCTGTTCTCACAGCCAAACCTTTGAACCTCACTCGAAAAAGGCCAAGAAGCAATTACAAGGTCTCCATGCAGACTGTCATCCTAAATAGGGATGCGCACTGTACAAATCTCAATTAGATGGAGGTTGGGAGCTTCCTTATGTAGGGTGAACAGACTGGTTGAGGTTCAATTTTGATTTTGATCTGCCCCAGCTCATGAAATGATGAAAAGACTCTCCATGCTGTTTAACAGCTGAAAAAACTAAAATTAGTGTTCTTGTGATTATTTGTAGTCAAATGCAAATCAAGTGATGCTTGACCAAAGGTAAGGATGGGAGGATGGGAAGGAAGATATAAAATGCTCTAATTGCATCGACTCGGAGACTTGCCGCTGACATGTAGTCAGGAAAGTTGAATTGGACTGGCCTCCACCCTGAACATGTCTACTGATTGGTGTAGATTCCAGTTTGAGTGCAAGTGCAAGCTAAGAAGCTTGTAGAAGCCTGTAGAATATTATAGAACATTTTCATAGTTTCTCTTTCATTTCCCTCTTGCCTTACTCATCTATGGACATTAGTCAGATACTTACAGTACTTGCTAGAACATTCTAGATACTATGTACTTAGGTATATAAGGCTCCGAGAAGAGCCAACACTAATAAGTCCATTATTCACTCTCATAGCCCATTATCCACAATACTGATGGCCCGAAGTGTCAGCAATCCTGGATTTTTCTGTTCAAGAAATCATACTGCCTCCGCGCAGCTGATCAAGAATGGAACAGACAAATTTGGTTTCAGGGGCCTTCAACTGCATCATGTACACATCCTCTTCATACAAGGCATTGGCTAACCATGAAATTTCGAAACACATTATTGGCCCAGTCTTAGAACGGAGGAACCTACGAGCAACAAAACAGAGGTAATTCCAGACTCGGATTACTAAGATAGTTTTGCGGGAAAAGAGGTATATTTAGAGCGGTTCTCAGCATCACGGTGGAGAGACTGACGGGACAGAGGAAGCCGGCACAGCAGAGGCAAGTGTAGAGGATAGTTGCGCTGAGGAAGACGACGAGGAAAAAGGGCCAGAGGATTCAGGAGAGCCTGAGGCTCAAGCGTGAAAAAACTCAACGGTGCGTGAAGCGCCACTGTGTCACACAAGTTTCAAGGTGTTGATGGCATTGTGTACAAGTCTGTAATTCTATAAAACAACGGGCGTAGCTGATTGACGGCTGCATTCGGTTGGTTCGGGGGGTTGAAATTGTGCTCAATACGTACTTCTGTCGACTTTTATAAGCTTTTATTTGATCTTTTTGAACACTTGTTGTGCACTTTTTGCGATCTTTAAGTAGCGGGGACTTATGTAAATCAGGCGGGGTACCTAGGTTACCAAATGCTGATAAACCTCGGTAGAAAGTCCGAGAAAGTCTGAGAAAGTCCGAAAAAGCCCGAAAAAGATCGGTTGACGTTCTGCTGATGATTTGAGAATATCGGGGGTGAGAAGTTGGCAGTTGCAATTGTTGTCACTGG